CTTAAGCTTTTTATTTTTTACCCAACCAATCTGGAATGCATCTGTCCCCAGACAGCAGCCTGCAGAGATTTCTCCTCCCTTGCCTTTAGGGAATGAACTGAAGGATGAATTTTCCAGGTCTGGGGACACTTTGAAGCAGCATCTCCGCCTCTGAAGCCAGTAGTCACCATTTCCTCACTACGCAGGAAGACTCCCATTTCAAACGCGCGAGATGAACTCAGGCCACGTAGTGAAATCTGTTTACAGCAGAGCCAAACATTTACTCTCACATCCAAAAAATCTCCAGTATCAAGCGTACAGCTGTGCAATGATGTACCTACAGAGACGGCTTCTTTCTGGCCTTAAAGCCCTTAACAGGTAGCATAAACAGACCAGAACCCCTCCTGCCAGTTCAAGGTACTGTCTCCAGCTGTTGAACATCAATGGGGTAGCACAACTGGAACACAGGGGCTCCTGTTAGGACATCACCTGCAATTTTCTGCCAGCTGGCACCACTATGCACGTGTATTTAGGCTCATCTTTTTACTATGGCAAACAGGGGAAGGAAGAGCAGTCAGCAGTATTTTTGCAATCGCATTACATAGGCTTTGTTCAGAACAAGGCTGATCTGTGGGTGAGCTGCAGAAGCAACACAAACTCCAAACCAAAGAATGAACGCACATTTCAAAGCAGTACCTCAACTCCTTTCTCTTGGATTTGCACTTCTCTACACCCCACATAGAGTCAAGAAGCTGAGACATTCAGTTCCTCAGAAGCTTTATTTTCATTCAAGCTACAGAAATAAAGTAGTACCTTCCAATTTCCCATTATACTTTCTGCGTATTTGTATGGCTCAGGGCAAGATGCACTAGGAGAACTACCCCGTACATACGGAGGAAGATAAGGCTCAAAAACTAGCTTTACTTCAAAGAATGCCAAACCTTACCTATGAGGTTGGCTCCAATTCCTCGATAACATTAATAGGCACAACATAAGGAAAAAAAGATTGACCTAAACTACCTATTGTAAGCAAAATCCAGTAATTCATTACAGAAAGTCATCCAAAGTAACCTTTTAGAAATAACAAAAGTTTTCTACTTTGAAAAAAATAGAAAAAATAGATGAGTCATTTTTGCTTTATATATGATATATTCACACACATGCTTTCAAGTATCATTTTCACTATTATCATACTTACATGGCTAAAGATAAAAAAAGTGAAAATCCCATAAGCAGATTATTATGCCAATGAAGTCACACACAGTCTTTATCTGGGTTTAGCAACACCTGGAATTCTCCATGGTATCATCGTGACCAAAAAAGCAGTGACTAGACTCAGTGTAATTTTTTCCCTTTATTAAACATCTTTGAATAAGGCTTGAAAAGTATCAGGATTTAGAAAAATGGAGGTGGGAAAAGCACAGGCAGTCATAAACCCCACAAATTCACAGCTAAGCTTGTCACAGGCTCAGTTCTAGCAGGGAATAAAAAAAAAAATCTGAGTTATGTTTGGTTAGCAGGCAAACTGATACCAACAGACTGACTCCAGCTAGGATGTTTTTACATTTAAGGCATCACACAAAGTAAGAAGTTAACGCTAGGAAGCATAACAATCATCATGTGCTCAGCCACGATTCACAGTTAGCTCTGGACACCAGAACCTGCTTTATTTCAAACCAGGAAGGCTGGTAGGGCATCCCACAGTCTTCTGGAAAAGTGCCAGCCAGCCAGAAAAGTGACCACGGTTTTTATCACAGGGGGAGGAATTTAAGTGCTTATTAAAGGCTTTGCTCCAGTGCCAGAGCTGGACGCCTGAAAACAGGTTCTGGAGGAATACAAAACTTTAAGAGCTAAAAGGCAGAAAGGCTGTTCAAGCAGCTACAGTGAGGAGCGTCCTGCAGAGAGACCAAAATGGAAAGTCTTCAAGATTTAACAGCTTCTGGAGCTTTGAAATGATAATGGAGAGAGGTCCAGCAGGCACATTCGATAGCCAGGACTGGGACCAGTTTCCCCACTGCTTCCCAATATGCTCTGCACTCCTGCTCTCCAAGTCTAGTTCGGATAGACAGGTATGAAATGTCTCAAAGTGAAATAGGTATAAACTATTTCCTTACTGGTGATGTCATTTTCATTTGTCTGTGTCTTGCTCAATATGAAAAGGCACAAATTCTGCATTAAAAAAATTTTAAGACCTAACTAAAAACTACTCAAAAAAAATTTGCAGAAACCACTGACTGTTCTTAAGAGGGCAAAGTCATCTACAAGTTAAGTGCTAGGCAGTCTGAAAGATCTATGGGTTTAACTATTAAGCCCAACTATTTGGTTTAGTACTTCAGTGCAGGATGTTCTTAAAATCTAGTTTTAAAACCATCAGGCCCAGACTCAAAAGTAAAGCTTCTTGGAATCAAGGGAGGTCACACATATCAAAGGGATGACCCATGTCACTTTACTAGGCTGAAACGCAACGCTTTTTTTGCTTTTAGTAGGGGTCCCATGGAGTCCAGAATATTTTTTTCCAAGCATTTCTGTAGGAAAAGATTCCATTAGGTGGGATGGAAGCTTTGAGCTCAGTCCAAGCTTTGCTAAAAGCTACTATTTCCAACTTCCCAGAATTTGGGTAACATTAAAAATTAAGTTTCCTGAGCTAGAGACCGCCTGAAACAAGACAGCGACAGTGCAGCAGGACAAACAGAAAGCTACAAAACAAAAAGCATTGCACAGCCCAAGACTTACAGTACACCCAGCAGCTGTTAATTCACAAATAATCCTCATCTTTTACCTCTTCTTCCCAGGCTATATTTTGGCACATTCTTACACCTCTTTGAACACAGCAAGTTTCTGCTTTCTGTCCTTGCTCTGCTGGTTTTGTACCATATAAAAACCACTTCTGAACAGATGCTTCAGACATCGCTCCAGACATTTATTCTTTAGTCTTCTCAGGCTTACTAAAACCACACATTGACAATGGCTACCCATTTAGCTGGAAATTTAATGACACTGAGTATTTTGTACCAGATAATTGAACGTTTACTGCTCTTTTCCTCTTACAAGCCTGTGGCTGTTCTATTAATACGCAAGGATGGAGAGCTCTCAGCTTCCTCCTAGAATGTAAGAATACAAACCACACCGTTATAATCAGAAGAACGTTAGTATGCAGCACAAAGTTATTCACAAGTTGAAGAAACTAGGTTCGTGGTCACTTGCTTCTTCTAGCAATGAATTAAAGGCATAGGTTATATATTTGATAAAGCAACTGTCATTTAATTTTTTTACTTAAGCCTTCTAGAAAGACAGCAATTGTTATTTGAACAGTGATGAGCCTCAAATCAACCTACTTGAAGTTTTCATATTACAGTTCCAAGCCAGTTGGCTGCTTAAATAGGCTCAGGCTCCAAAACCCGAGACCATACAAAAAACCCCATCAATCACCTTTCTAGAGAACAAAATGCTGCTACCCTGAACAATATTCCAGTCAGTCCTGTAGCAAAATTAAACAAAACCAATACTATATATACTTCTCACAAAAGCACTCAGTTTAATCTCAATGCTCTTTCCAAAAGGGCAGCAGTACCTATGTTTCTGAATTACACTCATTTTAGTGAGCCTTGCCCCAGTGCTCCCAAATTACATACACACAATCTAATGTTACCACTCAGGAAACTGATTCATCTTTACCTTCCCAAGCATACAAGCATTACTGGTTTACTCAGAAATATCAAAGCCTTTATAAACACTACTCAGCTTGAGGCTGATGATATAGAACAGAAATAGTTAGAGAAATTTAGTTCAAAAAGCTTACTTTAATTTCAGAGATGATTAGCTGAAGCAGTAAGCTGGAGAACAGGCAGGGACAGCTACATTCTACTATGAACAGACCTATTAAACAAACCCAACTTGCTTTGCACACCTGCAAGAACCAGGGCAGGCAACCAGTTACACCAGAATCCACAGAAACCAGCATACAAACAGCCCAACAGCACTCTCCACATCCAACATCTACCCTGGTTAATGACCAATACTGAAGGCATAGTGTCATTCGATAGAGATGTCTACTGTAAGTGTTTCTATTAAACAGACTTAAGGATGATCGACAGGTTAACGTAATACCTTTTTGGTATAATCTGGCACACTATTTACAGCACACATTTTTTATAAAATGTGCAAGAAGTTGTTCTTAGCCCACAGAAACACTTCAGTGCCTTAATCAGGCAGATTTAAAAGCCTGATTCAACTGAAGCTTCACTGCCACAGTGGCTAAACTTGCTTTAAGGAGTTATCACAAAGATCAAAACCCCAATAAGCATCTGCCTTTAAGTTTAACCGAAGAAAGGCTATCTAGCCCTGGCAAGATCTTGAAGTACCTCACATGCTAAAAATGAAGAAATTAGCAACAAAGCATCGATTTTGCTGCATGGTCTATTAACGAGTGGAAAGACAAAGCCTCTCACATGGTGCTCAGAACAAGAAGTTAACTCAATGGCCTTCAAAATTTTCCCTCAATCCTGCAAGTCAAGCAACCTTACAGCTCCCACAGCAACTTCCAAGCCAATGAAAGTTTCATTTCATTGTAAGACATACATAATAGCAGACTATCGAGATCCTCATATACTTTTATTTTGTAGCCATGTCTCTAGCACACTTTACTTATACTTTGTATAGGAATTATATTCTTAAAAGGAGAACCACTCACTTCAGTGCTTTTAGTGTAGTTCCTACCCAAAACTAGACAGCTTTCTATGTACCCTCGAATTTCCTGGTTGGCGTAAAACAAAGTCAAAAGAGAAACAACGAAAACCATGATCAATTAGTCCAACCACTAAGAGAAAACAGTAGCCACATCAATATAATTCACTTTGATTGAGGGTGCTATCTAATAGATTTATTAAAAGTTTCAGAATATAGCTCCAGACTTTCTCTTTCTTGGAAGACACTACAACAGAAGCCACAGTAGAGACTGCCTTGTCACAAGAAGTACAAATACTTGCTGTATAGATGGAGAAATAAAAGGACAAATCTAGTTGTCTAAAAGACAATTCACTGTACACATTTTATTTACAGTTTTGTACACTGTCTTAATATGAATGGGACCGCTTTTCTACTTGAGCCATTTTAACCAAAGCAAAATAACCTAAGTAATACAAAGTGTTAAAATACAGCATAAGATACAAAAACAGACATACTATTTCTAGTAAGGAATGTAAATTATGGTGTTACATTAAAAAAAATCCACAATTATGTTTAGGAAATCACACAAACAGATCACTGATTTGACTGAAATGCATAAATTTCTAGCAAAGCTTTGATGTTACAAAAAACAAAAAAATTACCAAAGAATGCACAAAATTAATGTTTATTCCACCTTTGTCATATTCCCAGATTCTTCACCAAGTGTTACATGAGCAAAAACAACTGAAATCAAAATATCACTAATGTTACCAAATAGGGAAAACAAATAAATTAATCTAGCAGCCATCAGCATAGGTTACAGCAAAGATGATGCTGTATAAAAAAATTGCTAGAAAACTGTATGCACCATACTCTTTTCCAAACCAGCAAAATGTTACTGCATACAATGCAAACGTAACACAGAGTAATTTCCTGCGGGTACAAAAATGCAACTTTTTTTCTGAATACTGTGGATAAACAAATGGGTTTTTTTTCGTAATAGTAATGTTTCTACCAAGCTATTACAGAGTGGGCCAGGAAAACATTTATGGATTCAGGGGGTGAAGTGTACTAAAGTTATGATTGGTAATGGTTATTTCAGCCAAAATAGAAAAAAAAAATGAACACAGAAGTACAAGACAAAGGCGAATGAGACTTCTCACAAATCTTAGCAACACTTAGATGGAAATCAAATTTAAATGTAGTCCACTCTGCTTCTGAAGAGGCTTTGGTTCAGCTCCCAAATCTCGATTGCTTGACGCAGTCTCCTATGAAAGAATACTCAGAAGGTGTCTTCTTAAACAACAAACCTATTTTTAGTAGTGGAGCCGCTCTTAGTAGCTGTGTCTGCATGGGACTGATAACCAATCACTATCTTTGGAGGAAGTCCTAATCTTTCCTTGTATACTCTCCTGGAGAAAAGAAATACAACAGTTTAAGTGAAGCCCTTTGGAAGGAATTAGTTACAGGACACCTGCTTTTAAGATCTGCTGACATATTAATAAAAAAAGCTGCCTATTTTGAAACAACTTCTAAAGTATGAATAAAGGACTTGAAACAGGATTTTTCTAACTTATTGCATCTAAAATCAGCTTATAGTTCTGTATGAACAATGACTTACCATATAAAACAGGACAAGCTCTTGCCAAAAAATAATTAACAGGCCTACATAAATGTAGAACACAGGGATTCTACTGCATTCATGTGAATATCATTAATATCAGCAAGCTATACTCCCACATATAGAAGCAAAACAGCTATGAAGAAGTCATGGTCCATGATTCCAGAACTACCAAGATGAATCAGTCACCTGAACCAAATAAAACAGCAATTCCCTGGAACAGTCAGTTTTTATCACCACACACATCTCAGTTGCACAGACTTGCTGTCTTCTCTTTAACTGTTGATAGAAAGCAGGCCCCCCACCCCTACCAATTCATTCTTGTACTGGTCACAGGCAGCTTCCCAACAGGGGCATTAAGAAAAATCAGCTTGAATTTTACAACTTAAGAGAAAGCAGCATCAGTAGCCCCCTTACGCACACAGCATTTCTTAGCACAGAGTACGGGTGAGAGGCAAGCCACTAATGGCACTAGGCTGCAAGCTCTGACTGAACCACAGAACAAGCCTGTTCAACGGCAGATTGTTAACAAAACTACATAAAGGTGTTTTTTTTAAAGCTTACCCTAATCATAATGGAGCAGTTTACAAGACCATAGCTTGCTCCAATTTTAACTGTTAATTCAAAGCCCGCCTCGATGATGTCCTGTGTAACATGCTCTAGGTGAACCTGCTTTAGCAGGAGGGTTGGACTGCATGATCTCCCAACCCTTGCCATTCTGTGATTCTGTGTGTATTGTCTTTGGAGTTATGGCAACATGACAGCAGGTAGTCAACATAACTTACCTTAGTCACTTTGTCAGTCAGTTTGCAAAATCTTAACTTCTTTTACAGCTAGTTTAAGTTCTCCAACTGAGTAATCTTAGCTCCTTAGTTAATGGTTAATACCATTCTAAAAATGCACCCTGATGCCTACTAGGTTTGATGTCAGGTTATTCTCTACTAGCAGAAGATCTGAACCACAGATCTGTTTGTCTATTTTTAAACACTTACCTTTCAAGTCTGAACATGACCGTATAATAAAATTGTTAGTATAAGGCAGCCCCCACCAGATTATTAAAGGCCCAAATGAGGAATGCATCAAGAGAGCCATCCAGTAAGTGAAAAATGTTCGCAAGCTACTATGCCCAACAGTAAAAGTTTGGCCTAAGACAAATGTGCTAAGCTGGAAAGATAAATATTTTCTTTGGTTTGCATAGGTTAAGTGGCCTACAATGATTGAATTTAACAGCAGGTATTTTTGAAGCATCAGGAATCCAACTAGCTTTAGCAACACTTGCTAAATAGCAGAGCACAACATGCATTTTCTGCAGTAGAGACACATTATAATCTGAGATGGCTACTATTGCTTACTGGAATGCAGACTACAACATACTATTACATGTGTCAAATAACCCAGCATTATGTTGTTTGATTCACAATTTAACAGACAAAAATGTAGGAAAACATCTGTAGAGTTTCACAGCACATCAGTAACCAGCTTTTTTCAAATATAAGGACATCCTTGGGAGTTTAAGATTTACAAAGCCTTTCTTCTCTTATTTTTAAGCACCACCTCCCTGAGAAAAATCTTACCAATATATCACTGTTACTGGCCACCCACCTTTAGAAACTGGCATGCTGCAACAGAATCTACACTATCTACAGGTATTAATCACAATGCCTCACAGTGAAATTAAAAACTTCTGCCAAGATTTGTGTTCAATTCCTCATTATTTCTAAACTACAGTGAAGGCAGTGCAGCAGTGCAAAGCTGTTACTAACATAAGCCCATACAGAAAGCTACATAGTAACACAAATAATTTGGCACTGAGTTACCTGAACTTGGGATACAGGTCCTGACAGGCTACATTTGCCTAAAGCACATTCTCTATCAAGTTAGCTGGCTTTAAAATGCATTGTTACACTTCATATATTCAAGACAATCACATTACTTACCCTATATGCGTAACAGCATCCCTGTTTTCACATTCAGTTGTCCATATTGCTATTTTATCACCCTTAGTTCTAACATTAACAACAGCACCACATACATCATCACTGTAGTCATCAAACGACTCCCCAATAAGGCACAGCAGCTACAAAACAAAGATTAACCATTAAAAGCAGCAGTTCAAAGTCAGAATCCTACTCCATAGGCAAACACTTAGTGTACACAAAGGACTTTAATACATTTTACTGCTTATAGCCACGTGCTATACAGAAATAATTGTCTGTTTATTGTAGTATCTTCCTGAAGTTCCAAATGTTACAAATGAATGTAAACTCAGTTGTAGTAAGGTATCTTCCTCCTTTTTTGAGTTTTCCATCTCTCCTCCTGTCCCAGCAGCTGCAAGTTCTGACACAGTTGATCATTTATGTAGTGCTGCCTCCCACCCCATCCTCCCAATCCAAAACCAGGTAGTAATTAAAGGAATTTATTATTCTTCCTAAAGTACATTTAACACAGGTAGCCGAATATGAAATTTTAAGTGTTTACATTCATTATCTAGGAAGAACCTGTGAAGAACTATTTGGACAATGCCAGTTATGTGAGGTCCAACTTCAATTCTGAAATAAATCAATTCAGAGGCAAATCAGACTGCAACTTAGATGGAAAGTGCTATCTAATGAAGTGTTACTTCCTATCAGCACACTCGGGAAGCTTCAGAGTTCCCATAGACTCTGAAGTGGGAATCAGTCATCCTGAACAGCGGGTAATACAAGTGAAACAATGCAAGTGTACAAATAATACAAAATTATTCCCCACAGACTTCTAACAGTGAAGCTTGGAATTGGCAAAGATGGTACACTTCAGGAACACTGGATTGAGTTAGGGCACATCCCTATACAATATGCTGTGAAAGTACTGTATTTTAAGTATTTAAAATCTACAACTTGCAACTCATAAAACAAGCAATTTTTAGATAGACAAAACTGAGTATTTCTTGTGGTTAAGACAGACTCATGTAGTTCATGCAGAACTAAAAATCCTTCTGCACACAAGTATTAAGTCTCCAGATGGGCACTTGTTTACTTCACTTGCACAGTACATTAAGTACACTGCCATTATATTAATTTTCCAGAATCACTTATAACATTTGGAAATTCCACACACTTGCAACTTTTTGAACAAAGAAGGTCTTTCAGCACCCATGAGCTGCAAGGGCTGACTTCATCAAGGAAATACAAAAAGGACAAAGCGTGCTACTGAATAAATCAGGTATAATTAAGCATACTTTAAATGTTACACCCAATTGCAGGATGCACACCTTCACTGAGTAATGAAAGCCATAAATGTTTAAGTTTAAATGACACACATTCAAAATATTGATCAACAGCCTTAGTACATGTACACAAAGATGATTACCATGCTCAAACACCAGTCAAGTACATTGCTCATGAATGCTGCACAATAGGGGAAAAGTTTTCTCAAATGTAGTTTACAGTTAAGAACAGTAAAGACCATTAGATTATAATAAAAATTAGTTCCAAAGGGAAGTGATAAAGGAAGAGGTTTTGATTTTTATTGGAGAAAGTTGGTTAAAAATAATTACTGGAATTAGAAGTGACAGGGTTGTTTTAGAGCACATACCCCAGTCACCTGGGTATTTGGGCTCTGTGCCATTGCTCACTGCTAAACAAAGAGCAGAGCCCTTTAGCCTTAAGTCTATGTAGACTATCTACATGTTTCCAATCCATATGTAATGGTTATTACGAGTCAGAAGGACTCATATAGGCATTTAGGGGGAGAGGCCAAATGCACGTAGCAAGACATTTATTTACTCATTGCCTAGTAGTATAATGCTCATCATCCTTTCTTCAAACCACTACTACAGTGACTAGAAAGATCTTCATAGCTCTGGTATTTTGGACACCTCTGCTTTGATCCCAAAGGCCATTTCTCCCTTTTGAAGGGGCACAATAGTTCTTGCTTCTCACACAAGCAGGGAGAAAAGATCAGAGATTTTATAAGATTGCTTTGCATTGTACTGCCTGCAATCCATGCCCCTAAAGCCCAGATCATGCTACACTCTCGTAGGTTACTCTGAATCAGTTCCTAGACAGTACAGTTGTATCCTTTTCTACAGCACATCTACTGCAACCCACATCATCTCTAGAAGTATATTTACCATTCAAAAAATCCATTCCAAAAAGATAACAGCAATGGAAAAGGTTATTTTTATAGTGGACAGAAGATTGTGCTATTACTTGCCTATCCTAGCGTTAAGTACAGAAAGAAAAAAAATAAAACCAAAACTCCCTTGTTTTAGCAAGACCAAGAGCTGAAAACCATTCACTTGCAAGAGTATTTGTAAAACACATTACACTTAAGCAGTTAAATTTGGGCGTCACATTCAAGGCAAAGTATTATTTTCCCAATAGCCCTGACAGCCATTCTGTATATTCCACAGGAAAAGGTTAATCTGTCCTGTAGAATTATCTCTATTGCTGCCCATTCTAAGCAAGTATTCAACAGAATACAACTCCATTGAGCATCATTTGAAAAATCATGTTTCAAATAGAGCCTGTCAATAAAAACTTACAGGACACTGTGCTGCCAGGGAGTTAGAAGTCTAGTGTGGCACACAGAAAGAACACACCAGCTAAGTAATATAAATGCAAGATTCTTCAGTTGCAACTTGTAAGGCCATAGTGCTTACTGTCTCTAGCCAGAAGCGATCAAGGTCACTTCGTCTCTGCTGTTTGTTTAGTGTAATTAGCCATCGTCCTCCACGCTTGTTTTTTTCATCTTCCCACATGGGTTCAATCCCATCCTGCAAAAGAACAGCCAGAAGTTAAATCAGACTTGATTTGTATTTTTCCTAAAGACTAACCAAAAGGCCAGTGATAACTGAAATAGCAAGTTAAGAAAAAAGTGTATAGTTTAAGATACATACCTGTCCAGAAATACTGTCTCATACCAATACCAACATTCCAAAACAACTTAAAAAGGTGCACTTTCTCTAACAAATTTTTATTTCTACAGAAGAATCACAGCCCTGGCAAAAGTCTTGTCTACACAACATTACATAAACTGTGGGCACAGGCAAAGTCAAACATTCACTTTGCCCCGTATGAAACCAGATAACATTAGCAGCTACATTCTGGAGCCCTTATTTTAAGTCTTGGACTCATTGCAACATTGGCCAAGCGCTTCACGCTTATGCATAAAGATTATTTCACCAAAACAGACACCCTTGGCAGTCTATCTCTATTACTTTCTGCACACACAAGGTGAGACTAAGAGGGTTTTAATTGCCAGGGCCACAAAAATCAACACACCATTCAGAAGTAAGTGGCATTCCAATTCATGCTTTACCAATGGCCCTGCACTGAATTAAATTACTCTGGATGCACTGATCCAGCAAAGCAGCCAGCTGCCATTCCCATATCCACCAGCTAGACTGCACTTCAGGTAAGTCAGTCATTAAAAAAAGCAGGTAACTGTTTAGACAGAGAAACTTGGTTAAGAAATGTCTATTAAGAGAGCTGCACTACAGAACTTTGGCTGAAAATTAAGTGTTCAGCACACAGGATGGAGTGGTGTCAGCTCACTTTAAATTTAACACCCTAACTGGCAGCTGCAGAGCTCAAACTACTTCATCACCTTTAAGAGGCACTCTTACGAGGTCACGATTGAAGGACAACAGCAAGAGATTGCTCAGAAGCCTGTAGCAGTTGCCAATTCTGTACCTGTTCCATGCATTTAAATAATTAAATTACTGTGTTTGCCTATCAATCATCAGAATAGATACACACACTTAAAACACAAATTTAGGCTTCACGCAAAAATTACAAGCATGATCCATAGATATTCTAACTTCTGAAGGGCCTACAGCTCCTTAAAAATTACCAGTAAGGTTTCTCAGTCACCTGAACCATTGCGACCTTCCCAAACCCATGCATCACCACCTCTTCACTGCCTGAAGTTGCTTAGGCTTACAAGCTATGTACACAGTCTACTGAGGAGTCCCAGGCAGTTAGCTATGTTTTATAAGCAAAAGAGGAACCAGGCAGCAGTATTTGGGGGATTATTTAGGTACTTGAATCCAGAAAGGAAGCTGTATGTTAAAAGCACCTCTGAGAAGTTAGGATTTAATTTAGAGCTCCAGTTCAGATCTCCACTCTAGCTGAGGCTGGATTTCACATATACTTTCTCATGAGAATTTCCTATTCACTAGCCTGAACACTTCTTCAGCATGCTTCAAGTGTCAATGCTGGGTACGATTTTCTATTTCATACATAAGTAATACAGCACGTAACTGATGGTGTAAAAATTAATTATAGTTGTATTATGCATCTGGCTAGTAGTGCTCATAAAGAATACTGTAGAACATTGCAGCCTCTCACAGAACTCAGACAATTTAACTCATGTCACACCAAATGACAGAGATAGAAAAATCTTTCATATTATAAAAATCATTGAGACAATTATTTGCACAAGTATCTCAAACATAGAATGAAGACAAACATAACAACAGATTAAAATGTACTCGGTGAAGTGTGTTAAGGTACTTGCATTTTCAGAACTAATGACAGCCTGATTTTCAGAGGGCATGTGTTTGGGACTTCCCAAAAAAATTATCACCTTTAGGACATAACATTCATGAATATCTGAAGTGAAATATTTGGGCAGTGTCTTGCTTAGTCAGGAAACTATCAACATCCATAACTGAAGAAAAAAGGTTAGCAAGCATACCTTAAAGAGCGAGTAGTCACAACCAGGCATTAAATTACTAGAGAGCTGGATATGGTTGTATAAACTATTGGAGGAAAAAAAGCAGGATTAAAAACTAAGCATTATTTTAAGGTACGAAATTCTCAAAGAATCTAAGACATGACTAATAAAATACAAAAATTAAAAAGCATTAAAGTTATTCCAGAAAAAAACCTATTTCCCAAGTATTTTTCAGCAGTATAAAAGCATTAGCTTTAAGATGCCCTGGGCTTAAAGAAGCAGAATGGAAATTGGTTTATGAACACTTGATGGATTCCTATACAACAGTATTTTCCAGAAATACCAATGCTTCTTTTAAATCTAGTTCTAATTAAGTTATTAGAAACATAACTCACTGAACTTTCATGGCAACAAGTTCTGCATGCATGTTTATTCTGTATATACACACATGGAATAAGGATAATTTTTATATTTCTCAGGCTACTCTCTCTGCAGAGAGTACTTTTAATAGAAATATTCAACTTTGTTATTTAATACAATACTCTAGGGATGAAGGCTGTAGGCCTGATAATTCAATTTGAAATAAGGACTCAAAAGGCAAGAACAGATGACAGAAACAACAAAATATAAAATACATACTCTAAATTAAATTTACAACTATGCAGTTCAGAGCAAAAAATTAAAGGAGTACATACTATCTCCTCCTCTAGCAAGAAAGATGGGGTTTTTTTTCCTGCACTGTTAAGGTCAGACTTCAGAAAAAGGCCTGCACATACCAAAATAACCTATAGACCAAGACCAACTAATATTCAGGCATGGTCCAGCACCAAAAAGGAAAATAATTACTGTGATGTTTAACAATTAGAAATCAGGCATTGGAATTTACAAAGCTAGTTACTGTTTTATCAGCTTCCCTCCCTTAAGTTTACCTTAATCTTAGTACTTTCTCCCCAGAACAACACACCTGTTTCTCCCACTCCAACCACAACAGAGACATAACTTCTCAAAGGCTTATGACTGATTTTATTCCTCAACTGCAGACATCTAGATTAAGCACTTCTTTTAATTACACAGACTATCTTGGTTATAGGAGCTCAAACCTCCTTACCCTTAACTAAATTTGTGAGCTTCAAGCAATTTAGCCTCCCATCACATACCCCAAGACTGCAAACTACTGTTCACTCAACCATCAGTAACCCCCCCCCCCAGTTGGAACAGGAAAGCTGGTTACAAGAATATTCCCCTCTCTGATGACTGCACTGATAAATACTCGTTCAACATTTTCAGTATCTTTATTTCTTTCCTGTTGGTGCTAATGAGCCACTGATGGGTCTTATTTTTCTACTAACACACCACCTCTCCCTTACTGATTACACCCAAAAGAACCCTACCACTCAATGAAGCATGAAATGTTAGGAAAGATCAAATATGTAATGCATTTTTTTGTCACCCTCAATTTCATGCCATTTGCATTTTCTCCATATTTCATCATTACAGAAGGCAAAATCTTCCAAGTAAGCCACGTGAATTTGACTGAAGCAAGTGTTTGGAAAGCACAGGCCTACCTTCAAAGGCTTTATTCTTGCTGTTTGAGCCTAACTGCTTTTGCAGACCTTTGATTTAGAATGAAGGTCGTTTCTCCTGTAACCTCTAATGAACTGCTTTCAAGGATGCCATTAATCTGCAACAATCTCCCAAGTACTATGCTCCAGATTCAGGCACTCTTGAACATCTGAAGTGAGTCAGCTGTCTAAGAATTTAATCAACTGGCAAAATTTGGGGCCAAGGAAGTAACAATCAGTTGGCTACAACAATTTACAAATTCCTGTTACTATACGATAACTACTGCACAAATACAATTTTCTACATGTATGTCATGTACATATGAATAAGCAGTGTTGCAGTGTTAAGAGCAAGACAATGTGCATTTAAAGCATAAAAACCTTCTCCAATCACATTTTCTTCAATGGTTACATCCTACCACATTCTGAACAATGGGGTAGACCTTACCTTCCACTTTGCAAACATTTCAGATTACTTCCAAAAGTTGCAATTCACGGAGTACTTTTATGGGGTTTTTTTGACTTTGGCATAAGCTTTGCCAACACATGCCAGGATTATTATGCAGATTGAAAAATCTTTACTTACGCCCAAAAATCTTCAACAGTATCAAACTTTGAGATAAGACGAAGATTTGCTTGCCAAGTTTTGCTCTTGTCATTTTTAAAAAACCAGAGTGCCCATCTAAAGGAAAACAAAATAATAGCATCTAGAAATTAAAGTATATTAAAAATATAATTCATTATTTGTATTGTTATATCCAAACTAATTGCAAACCTTAAGATATTATTCAGCATGGAAGTCAGTTTTCATCAATAAGCTACACGAGAAACTCAGTTCTCAAATCCAACCCTTCACAGCTCAGCAATATTTGTGTTTCCATTACAAGAATGATGGCAGACTTGATCAGTCTATTTAGGTAGATATTTTAAATAGTTTTGGAACTTTTCTAAGACTCTAAACCTCTTAGCCTCAGATGTTTCTCCTTGCTGCCACTGCTAAACTGCAATCCCCTACTGCAAATAACTGATTATGGTCTAAAACAACACCAACTATTCAAACTAGGAGCACAGCTCCCTTTCCAGTAATTTCCTTGTAAAGGTTACAAAAGCTAATTATATCACTCCAAAGCTATACAGGACATGAAAGTTTCCCAAGCACTCACATACTAGGAGAGCATAAATTTTAAAAGGGAAGCTGTGTTAAGCTTACTAATGTCAACAATCTTAAAAAACCCACCAACTTTAACTGTTTCAAGCTTTTAAATCTGCACATATAAACACGACTAAATGAAAAATTTTCCATCCAATTTTCTTCATCATTATCTCTGCTGAGTACAAATCTCAACATATAAATTGAACCTGTTACACAAATATGCTCTTTCTGAATCTAAAAAGCATCGTTCAAAATGCTGAAACAGCATTTTAATGTCTGATGAGACACTTAACAAAACAGGCTTATTTTTCTTATTTTTCATTCTGATAAGTTTCAGTACTGTTGAAATACTCTGGTTAGCATTAGAGTATTTATTTTCTCACTGCAGAGTACTTTAAGTCACCAGGTATCAATCTGTTGTTTTGAGACCTTTCCGGACATTTCAAACCTGTTTTACAAGGTTGTCATTTTCCAATAATAGACCCACTACCACTTGTAAAGGAGCGTCAGCACCAATTCAACCAAAGTGTTTAGAGGAAAAAGAGGAAAGATGGAAGCTGAAGAAATACAACAAGGGAAAGTAGGATGCGCACAGCATAGCACTACAGTGCAGTGTGGTTTTCCACACTTGCTCAAAATTTAGAAAAAGAGTAAGGTGTCACTTGGTAACAGGTTCACTTTGGGGCAGCACCTGCCTACCAAAGTTAAGCACTGAGCACTCCACATCAGCTCTTCAGCTTAGTTGGCAAAAATGACTTCTAGGTGCTCTTTTTAAAGTATATGTATGCTGCTGGCACATTTAAAGGAGTTCAACCTGTAAGCTTGTAATATCTTTCCTGCAGAAAGGTAGTTCAAGTGGAGGTTTTCAAGTGCAAAGCTCCTTGGTAAAGTCCTCATTTTCTCTATAGCTCAGTGAAAAGCTGAGTAGTAGCTTTTAAGACATACCTGGTTTTGCACACTGAACACAGAATTGAGTAAGGCGGCTTTGATTTTTCAGTAACTTTTCTTAACTGTACTTTTAACTACTGCTCCATGTTTTTCTTGTTAAACAATAATTTAAGTACTCTACAGTTTTTTTCTTAGTGACACTTTGGTACAAACATATGCTTTTGCACTTCACAGGTTTCTTCTGCTGTGATAATGCAAACAATATTACTGTAGACACCAAGCACTCATATGATCAAGTCTAATCAGCTCTTTGGCTGATTAACACAACTTCTACTACTTTCAGTTCCAAACAGGATGAAAAAAATGGTAAGATATGAAGGAGACTGAGAAGAAATAAGAATGAGACATCTTTACCACTGGCACCTTAAGTGCCCCAAGTGCAAGGCAGAATGGAAGGTTTTCCAGTTCTGCTTGGCAGCAACTTCAACTTCATCTCAGCGTCAGTCTCTTAAAGCACACCAGACAAAAGCACCAAAAGCTCTGCTTGCCTCCAACTAAAAGCAAAGCCATGCTCTTTCCAATTACCTGGCTGCATTATGAAAACCTGCAAAGGTTTTCAGCTTCTGTAACAACACTACATGAAAAGGCTCTAAATTACAACAGGATCAGATCCTATTTTTCTCTGCAACCTCACTGCAAAAGTCTTCAAAAAATTTGAGAACTCTCAAAATACTGCTAGAAAACATAAGGTAAACAAGAGAGCTGTAAAGCCACAGGCATTCTTCTATCTCTGGCAAATTTATGATCACGCTTCTGTACTATTTACCTGTTTTGTAGTGGATGCTTAATATACTGTTCAGGGCTGGCAACCTCCTGACTAGGTGCTGGCTCGGTTTTCTCCTCTTCTGAAGGCTGAGGGTTGGGAGTGGTTTCCTGTTTGAAGAAAGGAGTTATTAATAAGTTCCTTCTCAATTTTTATTGAAGTAATTTAGTTCTTTGAAGTAACTTTAAGAAGGTTGAAGTTAAGAGTTGCTCTAATTCATCTTGGATTAGCGCCCCAAATCACATCATACAAGCACAATCTGCATCCCTTTATTCTTCAACATCTGAACAGGTCCTACCATAAATACTAACTGCTGGAATTCGCATTCTGCTCTTCAGTGATTTGCTTCCTGTGTCATGTTTCCAGAATGGTTTACTTCACATACTTGTATTATTTTGGAACAGTTCTGAGTGTTAGTTCAGAAATACACAATATGCTATGTTATCTAGAACATGCACATCTGAAAATTAATTCCTAGAATAATAATTTCAGAAGGAAAGTGATTTTTTTAAAATCAGTTTCTAACAAAGCATTATTGGAAACAGATGTACAGGTCCTGTTCATTTAGAAAAATCTGTTATTACAAGTAGGAGATATGCCTACAATTCTCAGGTCTGAAATCAGCTATTACAAGCAGCTAGAAACCACACCAGTAAGTGGTTATCTTTGTATTTGCAACATCACTACTAACAAAGCTTCGCACACCAAACAGCAGAATTTAAACACACATCAGTTCTCAAATTTCAAACTGAAATAAATGTAATTACACATTTACCACAATTAGACTGATTCCAAGTATTGATGTTTCAAATCTTTAGAGACAGTGCTAAAGATGTCAAATATACTTTAACACAAAGAAGTGAAGCAATATATTCCCTTTTCATGCAACTCCCCCCCAAGCTTGTCATTCAGTTTGAGAAGCCAGTGTGTCAGGTTTGAAATTCTAATGCCATTCCTTCAAACCAGGGAACACAAAGCTTTATTGTGAGGCCAAGTGTCCCCGCCAGTTACCACCATCTCTCCCTAATCTGCAATCCATGCTAGAATCTTTCAGAGACAAGGAATGAGGACTAGAGATCATTCCCTACAGCGAACACAAAGATGCCTGTATAGCTGACCCTGTCAAAGAAAAGCATTTCAGTAACATAAACAAACACTAACTATAGCAGACCCAGAGACTCTGGACATTCCTCAATGTGACAATACAAAAGTAGTACTTAAATTTTTAAACTTTGTGGTTTTACAAGAACAAAGCAACGTAGGGGTGGGATTAAGTAATGGTAAATCATCTAATCAATGAACCAGTTTATTCCAGACTTTCACGTTACTCAGTTTATCATCACCAAAGTTGCTGAAAAGTAGAATGGATTTGAAGCGGTAACAAACGTTGTTTAACCTTCACAGTCCCAACTGCCAAACTCTTCTGATAACACCTAAAGATCTGTCTTAACAGGGATTTTTAATTAGCAATATATTTAGCATTATTAAGCATCGTATTATGTTTTACTTCAGAGAAGTTACACCTTCATGCTTGAAAATAATTAAGTGTGCTTTAGTTTAAGAGATCACTTAGAAAAAAATCAGTTCAAAAGCTAATTTACATCATGCTTAAGAATGCTTTCGTATGTTCCCCCGTTCACAGTGTAAAAACTGAAATGTGAAGGCCTAACAGGGGCAGTGACAACTAGAATGGTGCTTTGATTTACACAGTACAAGGTGCAGGTAGTGCAATTCCCTGCCACTTAATAGAACTAAATGCTTTCCGAAGATTCCCTAATGGGGAACATCACTGACAAACCCACAGAAGCAGAGTGTTGAATAATCTGTCAAATATCCTCCAGTGTAATACTATAAAAAGCTAAACAGATCTTCGAAAAAGCTTAGTAAGTCCTTCAAATTCTATCTAGAATAAAATTTCTAGCAGTAGCCCCATTTATTTTTAAGTTGATGGGGCCAAATATACATCTTTCCTTTTAATCACATGTAAGAACCCCACAGAACAAATTAAGATGGTCAATGCACAAAGGCTGTAAGATACACCAAAGAAGCATTTCAGTATTTCCTCCTCCAAGTAACCATTTGTATTATACTACAAAAAGCCAAGTACAGACAACCACAATTTGAGTGTTGCCCCTTCAGGGGCTTCTAACTAGAAGAGTTTGAAATATCACATGTGCAAATACAATGAGCATACAGGAAAAATCTTGTTGATATTTTGGAAGCACACCGAGCACTAGGCTTTGTGATAAAGCTTGCTTTCATTCACAGTACTCTGCGGTTCTGACATCTAAATTTTGTAATTGATTTACAAATGCTATTACACTAAATACTTTCACATCAAATAGATTCAACTCTTGATGAATGCAGAGTATCTTCCAAAAATAATTTCAGTGAGAATCCCATTCATGTTTGCTCAGCAAATAGCTTTCAACATGCAAAGAGCTAATCCTAAAGTTGCCCTGATCAGTCTTCCAGAAGTATCATAATGATATAAACTGGAAGTATCAATACAAAACTACTAAGCACACACAGGGGTATGCTATTTCATAACTTCTAATACAAGACAACATCAGAAAAGATTAAGGTAACACCTCCAGACAACTAAAAAAAGAATGCAGTGAGCCTCAATACCTGCCCAGGATACCAGCAGTCACCCTTCACATAACTATGTGAAAGTCCATTTCTGGACAAATGAAAGACATCTGACTCAGCACAAGCATTTTTCTTAAGTCACCACACTAACAAGTACCTTAAGATATTCTGAAGGCTACCTAGCATTAACGAAACTCAGACTAACCATTATTTCAAGGTCCTGTCCAAATCAGGACGTAACTCACCTCCAAGGCCTGGCTAACTATGATCTTGACCAGGGATTACGCCACTCCCCTCAAAATCTAACCCAGCCAGAAGAGAGGGTTTTTTTCAGTGCCAGGCTGCCCAGCAAGGACAGGTACAGCTGTGCACACCAGAATAAACCTGGAAAAAGGTGTAAAGTTGGAATCAGAGCTTTCTACCACAAAGCACTTTTCTGGCTGGTCTCAGAAGCCTAAAGCAGCTTGGTTTCACTACCTTTTAATTCCCACTGCCATCAAGGAAAGAAAAAAAAGGACCGTTTTCATTTTTGGCTGATTAATCATATCAGCTCCCATTTCCTTTCATCTTGCCCTTTATCTCGCTATTCTGACCACCAAGCTAAGGTATTTGTGTAGCAAAGCACTTTTCATTATTAGCCAACTACAAAGTATGTAAGTTCACTAATTGGCACTCAAAGTCCATTTCTTGTATCCTATCTCTTTCCAGCTAATGAAATTCTACCTCAAACCACAAGCATGCAGCTTTTAAAAGATTCTACAAATACCATATGAATAAAGTGATATTGTACACATTTTACCAATTCACACCTTGAAATCTTGCAATTGCTACCGTGTTAACTTAAAGTCAGACTGTCTCCACAAGCAGTTTCTGGGCTACTGAATTTAAAGTCCTTCATAATACTTTACTATTGCTCATAACTAATACGTTCTTTAACCTAAAATTGACATTGTGTCTACTATTAAACTAAGCCACCACGGGGTTTGCTGCCTTTAAAATAGATGTAATAAAATAGGGTAGTATTACCAGATAGACTGGAAAGCTTCACATGGCCAATCCTACTCCTCACACACAAGACATCATGTAATTAAAAGTGACATTTATTCGCTACCCACATGGTTTTCTGATGTAGGAATCAGCTTGCAGAAGTCCATGAAACATTTGCCTGCTCAGCATTTAATGACTGTGCGTATCTGCACATTACTTGGATTCTGACACTTGCAGATTTAATTGGTGTTATTTATTCTTTCTCCACAGCACGTAATGACCAACATAGCAAAGGAAGGTGTGCAAGTCAACCAGGACAGGAAACAAATAGCACTTACAGTAAAAACTGCTTAATCAGGTTTGTCTATTGAAGGGAACAACTAGCTTGACTAGGTTTCACGGAGTGTTTTCAGGTGCTGCCCAGACCACATTCATGTCACCTAATTGTCTACAGAAGTTGTTTAGGAAGTCCAGCTGAGAGAGCACTACATTTATATCCCAAAAGGACGTAACCTAGCACTATTATGCATTCTTGGTGAAAGTTAAGAGAATCAATTAGTGGAAGAAGCTTCCAAAGTTTTCTTGCATTGAACCAAAGTAAATTACATTTGAGTTTCCACCTTTGCGTTTAAGGTTTCCAACAGAATGAGAAAACTGCACATCCCAGTTATCAGATGTCTAGGGAAACAGCATGTCAACTGTCTGCTGGCCCTTATGCTTCTTGCAGATAACTGCTATTAGAGTACAGTTAGGATAACGATTCACAAGGAACAAAAATCAACAGCTATTTATTTAAAATTATTCTGGAGAAAAAAGCATTTAAGCCCACCCACAAGCAAGTACTATGTGCTGTAAGAAAACAAACCAAATTATGATCTATATGGAACTCTGAGGAATGAATATACAGATGTAAAAGTCATACGTAGTATGTGTAATACCAACCAGGAGAGAGTTACCAATAGCCACCTGTTACCAATTAAAGTGTTAAATAGTTTTCCAGACACCAGGACAGAAAAATTCTCTAGGCATGACACAACAAGGCCTAACATGGAACAACTATCCTAACTGCATATATTATTAGACCACCACAGATTTTTAGAAAGGCATTCGTTCGCTACTAGAAAACAAACATGGGGCACAATTTTAAATGAGTGACATCCCACCAAATTAGAACAGAAGAGCAGCACACATACAGGAGGACAGAAACAAGAGCTGAAGTAAGAGTCACATGCTTCCTCCAGGGTCAGAGGGGCACACTGGTTTGTTTTTTTTAGGAAATATAATCTCAGGTTTTAAAAGATGCAAAGAATATTTACAGCCCTTTAGACTTCTGAGAAATGAGTTACATATACTTGAAAGTACCCACGGGATTTTTAACATTTCATTCACAACCTTATGACTAGAAATTAGCAAACAAGTTACAAGGTGTATCAAAATACTTCAGTATCTTTGTGTTTTTTCCAGCAGCCTAAGTAGGCTGCCCTTGTGCTACCACTTCGCAGTTCGCTGCTGCCTTTGCTACTAGAACACAAAATCTACCCATGGGATAAGATGACTTTCCA